CTAACTTCTAAACCCGAATTAAATCAGACTCCAAGAAACCTGAAGGGCGGTAACCTCTCAGAACGGAGTGCTCTGTCTACACCGCAGTCTCCGCAGTTCCAGAGGGAACCTGTCTCTTTTGGCGACTTTCTGAGTTTCTGATGATTATAGGAGGGCTGTTTTAACCCAAAGTCCCTGAACCCAGAAGAACACAACATGTAGCTTGTTCTGCTCACTGGTAACTGTCCTTACACCTTTAATAAACTCACTGCACTGAAGACATGAGCTGTAGCCTCCTTGGGCACCTCAGAACTGGAAGCCAATAGAGCTAGTGAAGGTTGGGGGCCCAGTCAGATGGATAATTAGTACGTCTGCAAAACAGCCTTCTCCCTACTCGCATTCAGAGGGGCATTATACCCAAAGCGCATCCAAGTGTCCCAGTCCTGATCTCCCCCACTTTTCACCCACTGTCTGTGTCTCCTGCTGCGCACACAAAGGGAAGAGACTCTGAATGGCAGTTATCTGTCCATCTAGGTTTAAATTCCAGTCCCCTAAGAGTCCAGGCACTCTTAACTATATCCAGCTCTGGCAGCCGGCCCCACTGTCATCACACAACAATTACCAAGTAATAGGCTAGATACAGTACTTGGTTTACAAACACAAATGAGAGGATCACTGGCTTTAAACAATAATCTGGAAGGAGCAGCTGAGGGAGTGGTAATGGTATGTAAGCAAACAAACAAACCCAAACATGTGCCTAAAAAAGACCTTCCAGGGACCCCAAGAGTCAGATCCACATTTTCAACCTCAAGGGGAATTTGGGGGCAATTCTCCGCTTTTGTTGGGGCAGAGATGTTGATCATGCTCTGTTAACCGTGACTGTGAAAGGGGGAGGCCACCTAACAGGAATAGGACCACAGCTGTTTAATGATGATTCCCCTTACTAACCAACGACAAGGAGTTTCCCTACTGACCCTGGGAAACTGGAGGGTGTGCTGCAGAAGAAAAACAGCTGTCAAAAGATGAGAGACACCTCGGGGCCTCCACGGGTCCATTGCTCAGAAAGGAAAATGAGTTTTGAGAGCAGACAAAGGACAGGATGCACTTTGATCTGGGTGCTGCGCCTGGAGCCTGAACTCCCTCGAATGCCGACCATTCTCAGGTCCTAGGAACTGGTGGAACTGGGTTTTAATACCACTGAAAATGAACTACCTTGTTATCGGACTTCAAGGTCCCAGAAGGAGACACAGGGACCACAGACCCTGCAGCCGTCCTCACCTCCCCGCCATCTCCTTTGCACGCAGCCTATATAGCCAGCCAGGTAATACGGGAAGGGCAGAGCAGATTTTATGTGGACAAATCCCACTGCTCTCCCATTTGCCCGCAAAAATGGAATAAATGCTCAAATGATTCACCCTTGTCTCTGCTTAATTGGCTGAAGTAGCGACAGGCAGCCCGGACCCATTGTGCCCCATTTCACTTTCATGCTCTCAGCCCTGAACCCCCAAGTCTGTAACTTCTAGCAGAGACTTGAAAGACAAGGAGTCCTGAACAGAACGGTCCAAATGAAACCACTGGATCATTTTGCCTGAACCCTAAACCCCAGGCCGGGATTCTCCAGGTCCCCACAGCATCCACCTCCCTCTTCTCCGCTCGTCAGTGGAATAAAATCATGCAGGTTCCCTACTTTTACTAATAATCATCTTTGACTCCTTTTGTCAAACCCCAGCATCCTAACCACCAGCCCTGCTTCTGAATTTTCAGTTTACAAAATTCTTTCACGTGCTTTGCAGGTCATTTGTGCCTCACAGTGGAACGTTATGGCCTTCGTTGCACAGATGAGAAAACGGAGGCTCCACGAGGTAAACAACCCCCACAGAGCTCAACATTACGCACGGGAGGAGCTAGGGCTGTGGTCTCAAGGGCAGGCCCATGTCTCTTGCTACATGGTACACATTGTACAGGTTTGCCCAGTGGCTCTACCTCTCTCCCATCTCCTGTCCCCCTCCAGCCCCTTCCATAGTGGGGCCTACTCACTTGGTAACACAGACCCACTTGAGTCCCTCCAGAAAAAGGCTATAAGCATATATGCAAAGATTTTTCATATACTGTGAAGCTCGTTCTCAGACCCCTAGATTAACTGCTTGACCCACTCAGATCTACCCCAACATCTCCAAATGACTCACCTCCTAAAACTCCTCTCTGATCCCATTTCAAGGGTCAAACACCTTGAGTGGTTCCCCACGACCTACTGAGTGACCCCCACTGTAGCTGCCCCTCTACATTAGACGTCACCTACCCAGCCTCTCCTTACGCGTGAAGCCAGCCTCTCCTTTTTACACTCTTCCTACCATGAAGCCAGCCTCTCTTTTTTACACTCTTCCTACCACATACAGCCATCTCTGAACTGACCAACGGCTAGAGAAATAAAAACCAACAGCAGCAGCAACAACTCTGTGGAGCACGTCTAATCAGACTCCACACCGTCTCCTCCTCCGCCTGCCCTCCTGGGGTGTGTGTCACCCTTCGCAGAGTGGCACCCTCACTGAGCGCAGGACGCAGCGAGGCTCCGGGCTGCTGTGCTGTCCCTGTTCTGTGGGCCCCGCATTACATCAACGCATATTAAGGCCGATGACACTAAAACCCATCAGGCCTTTTCCACTTGCCTGTACTTCAGCCATTTGCCTGGGGCCCACCCTCCAGCACCAGTGTCCCTCCGCATCTGCTGGCATCCACACTGTGGCTGACTTCACATCCATGTCCTTCGAGTCAGTGACCAACACGCGCACTGGGACAAGGGGACGCATCCCGGCCACCGCTGCATTCCTCACCGCGCCTCCCGGTTCGGACCAGTCTGCGCTGCGCACAGAGCACATGCGCTTAACCTCCCGTGTACATAACTCGCTGAAGTGCCTGAAAAAAACACAGCTCCACAGACTCAAAAGATCTGGAGTAAGAGCGCAGGAGTCTGGGTTGTTAACAAGCTGAACGTATCTAACATTGTGGTAAGAAGACCACACTTTTAAAGTGGTGCCCTGAATGTTTCTTGATCCTATAATATCAGCAATGTTAACGTTCCCCCCTCTGGGACCCTACAGCTAAACTGAAAACGCTGATGAAAGCAAGGCCCCTGTCTGTCTGTTCTCCACTCTGTCTCTAGTGAGTAGGAACATGAGAAGCTCAATAACTTTTTGTTAAGTTACTGAATGACTGAAATTTTTACTGTCTGTGCCACTCGGGTGGCACATGAATGCACTGTGTGTTACCTTCAAACTCTCAGACTCAGGTGTTACCCCAAAAATGACGAAGGTGATGTGAGAGAGACTATGTCACCTGCAGCTCCTTCAACTTGGGAGGTTACTACATAAATATTTACCAAGACAGACAAGAGGAGGTGAACAGAGATCTAGAGGCAAAGACAGAGGAGAGCCTGGCAGGTGGCACATGACAGCAGGTAAAGAGCGGGATGCTCAACAAAACGCACTAGGAAACTATCCATAGAGAAAGTACCAAGTCAGGTCCCTTGCTCATGCCCTACGCCATACACAAAAATAAATGGCAAACAGTAAAAATCTAAACATAAACTAAAAACTTTTTAGTAAAGAAATAAAAGAATGCCTTCATTATATGGGGCTAGGGCAGGACTTTTAAAATAAGATCTGCAAAAGCATTTATAAAACTTTAAAGGGAAAGGCAGACATATTTAAATATATTAAAGTTAATATATGTCCCTAAAGAAAGGACCTTAGGTGAGTGGAAGGCCAGGCCCTCTGAGAAAACGTATTTGTGACACATAACAGGACTGTGTTCTCAGAACATGGCCAAACATTTAAACAGTCGATTACAGAAAGATAATCCAAAAGGAAAACAAGCAAAGGCTATCAACAAAGAATTCATGGGGGAAGAAGACACTAATCAGGGAAATGGATTTTTTAAAAAATCTCGAAGATTGGCAAGAATTAGAAAAGTTGATGGCATCATACTGAGGTGGGGTGCGAGGACCGGCCACACTGTGGTGTCATAAGCAGACCCCGTCACCTCTGAAAGTAACTTGGCAGAGCCAGTGACACCGAATGTCACCGTGGTCCGGGACCCAGCCAAACGCTGCGTGTGCATAGCTGATGAAACGCGTCATGGGTGTCTACCCAACACCGTTTCCATGGAAACGCCCTAACTATCCATCTGCAGGGGATAAAGAAACTGCTTTAGTCTCACAGAGGAGCTAACATTAAACTGGTGGTCAAAGTGAAGACATTCCCCATGAAGGGACCGCAGATGCACAGTGAGACCGCAGGATAGCACATGAAAAAAACATAAATCAAATATTCGCTTGGAAGAACGTTTTTACAATATGGCACCCATTTGATTTAATACTTTCGTTAGGAGCACTTTCAAATACACAAATGAGAAAAGCATAGTGGAACCCTGCACTCATCACTTGCTTCAGAATTCTCAATATTCTGCCAAGTTCATGCTGGGAAATGGCCATGAACCTGGACCCCGAGAGCACAGGACAGGAGGGCAGAGAGCCTGGCTGCAGAGCAGGCGCCCCCCTGAGCCTGGGATCCTACTTGCTAACTTCCTCCGCTGGGTGGGGGGGGCTCTGAACTGGGGAGACTTCAGAGGGGACTGAAAGGTGTGTGGGAGAAGAGGAAATAATCAGGATGTGGCCGGACTCTAGAAGGTACAGATAGAGAAATCGAAAAGATACAAACACCAAGACCCAAAGGATCAAAGGCACTGAAACCGCACACTCCCCCACCCCCGTCTTCCTAAGCAGATACTCAGGGGTCTGTCCCAACTCTCTGGGGACAGGATGTTACCCTCCCCCAAACACCATCGTCTGTTCTAAACCTAGGCCCTGCTTTACCACCAGGGCAGGAAGGAGCTCCTTGAGGCCCTCTGCTCCTGTGTCCCCTCCCTCAAGCCCTGCCGCCCACGTGGCCAGCATGCCAGGGAGCAGGAAGGCACTGGAAGGGCTGGCAGAGGGCGCGCTGAGCTGTCTCAAGGCGGGCACGTACCTCTTGAAGCAGTGTGCGGCCGTCAGCACCCAGCAGCTGCTCAGGAGCGTGGCCCCGCAGAGGAGCCTGCCATCTCTGTGGGACGACCTGAGCCGCAGTGACACCTGCCAAGGCCAGCCGCCCCTGCCAGGAAAGTAAGCGGCTCATCAGCATCCACAGAGGCAGGAACACAAAGGAGGGCATCCACTAAGACAATGACCTGGTAAGCTTGGGGGTGGGGGGATGAAAGGATCCCACATGAAAGACCCTCCTGCTTCGAGGTGGAGCCCCCCGGCCCTGCACACAGACAGGCACTGTGTGCGACCCCCTGCTCCCCATTCTAGAGACTAACGGATTCTTCTTTATGCTTCATGATGAGAAGAGTGCTCTCCCTCCTCACTCTCCTCAGTAGACTGAAGTGTGTTCCATGGGCAAAGCGCTGGCTTTCCACTGATAATCCAGCGAGCAAAATACTTATGTCAACATGAGTCAAGTCCAGAAGGAACAGTCTAAATTCAGTGAATCTGTCCTCACCCACTGTTCAGGGCTCCGGGTGAAGTGGTGGCTTCTGCCACACACCATGTGGGCAGCAGGTCCATTCATAAATCAGGACAGTGACCTGAGAACACGTCACAGGACGTGAGGGCTCAGTGTGGTCCATGTTTACTTAGAAAATAGCACGAGTGAATCACGTCCTAATAACAGCAGAAAACCCCCAATTTGTAACCTTGAGTGTATCAATAGCTGTAACAGGGAAAAGCCTCCTGAGGAACTCACCTTAGAGAATTTCTCCCACCAATGATCCGCTTCTGCCGACGGGGAAGCAGCCTGAGCCCACAGACAGGCGGGAGGGGCGCTGAGCAGAAACGGGAGGAATTACTCTCAGATGGCCAGGGGGACAGTCACAGGCCCTGCTGCTCCCACCCCAGCTCAGAAGCCTTCCTCCTCAGTTTTAGGGTGCTTTTTCTTACAGTGAAAGTAAAAGTTGTTTTCTCTTTAACTAAGCAGTGGTCATTCGCAAGCAGACGAGGGGCGTGCTGTTTCCCACGCTCGACTCAGAGGGGTTTCCTGGCAGCTGGGGGCCTGGCCCTGTGGGTGCACCTCCTCCTCTGCTCGTCAGAGGGGCCGTTTGGGGTTCAGGAACATGAACCAGGCCAGAGGTCTAAAGCACTGCTCTTCACGTGCAACTTCTTCCGAGCGCTGTGCGCACATACAGCTCCCCAAGCGGACACCCATATTAACTCGCACTGACTCATATTAACAGAGTTTACAGGCTTACTAAGCCCCTTTAAGTGGCAAGCTGTGCTTTGTCAAAGGTCCCAAGGAAACAAATTCTGTCAAGCGCATAAACAACAGCTAAAATAAATATATATGCTAAGGTGGTATCCCGAAGAAGACTAAACCTAAGTATAACTAGTTCTTCCAATATTTCAGAAAGTAGAATTTTATCTTTTTTTACACTCAATGCATTTAGCAACTCAACAAGGGACATACATGCTGATTCCAACTTAAAGGTGAGGAAGCTAAGGCTCAGAGAAGAGGGTAAGCGACGGCGCCAAGGCCACACAGCTGGCGCCCGAGAGCGGCTTCTGGAGCCTGTGCCGTGAGCATTCCACGCCGCGCCCTCAGCTTGACCCGGCAGCTGCCCCTCCAGCCAAGCTCATGCCAGTTCCCCCTTTCTTTCTTTTTAAAATCTCTCTGTATTGTGGAAAGTATTACAGATGGCCCTCTCTCCCCATGGCCCCCTCCACCCTCCCAGGCCCCCCTGGGAGCATTCTGTTCTCTGGGGAAGCACGCGTGCATAAAGGGGAGACGCTGTCTCTCTATCTGGGAGAGGAGGGGGAATCTGCCAAGAACCGGGACACCTGGTCAGCACCGTGGCGTCCCATCGAGGCCGGGCAGCGAGGCCCACCGGAAGGGCGTCGGCGCTGGTGAAGCCTTACGGAGGACGAGGTTCCAGGCGCTACCAGGACGGCTGACCGCACCTGACCTCAGGCTGTCAACCTGCATCCCCATCGCCTGGGATGCACGTCCTCTAAACGACACCAAGTTACAAGACGTTAGAGGAACATCTGTTTCCAACAAGGCTCCAGGTCAGGTGACTGTGGCGAGGTAATGCTGAGCAGCAGGGCTGAGGGCTGGCCTCGTTATGGGGCAAAGCACCAGCTTGCAAGAGAGGAAAATCTATTTAAGACCATAAACTCGCTGCTACAAAAAATTAAAAAGCAAAATGAAGTTCTTCTATCAAAGGATCCCAGCAGGTGACCAGTGGTAAGTCTGAGTCACCTTTCCGCAGTCAGCCACTGGGCTTGAGCCTCAGCACAGGAGCAGCAGGCCAACAGGCAGAGCCCGGTCTAGCTGGTCTGGGATAAAAACCTTTCCACCTGACAGACACAGCGCTGGGACCAGGGGCATGTATCAAAGCAAGTGCTGCTGCAACTCCAGGGGCGCACGGACACAATGCGTGAATACTAAGGAAATCAATCTACGGTATGTCGTAGTTTAAAATAGGTTTACATGGAAAAGTAGTAAAACATCTTACAGTTACTGAGTTTTTGTGTCTTGCTTAAGGAGTGATCGAAAGAATGTTGTATTAGTTACATTAGTTATAGTCGACCTATAACTGTAGTTTGAATTACTGAAGGGAATTTAATAAATTAAGTTATAACCACTACTCAGGGAAGACTGGCTTGCCAATTCCTATTTATCACATACATAAATACATGTATCTCAGGGCACAAAGGATTGTAAATATTTATCTCTAGTTCAAAAGCCCCTCAGACAGTAGAGAACTGTATTAACAACAAACGATTTATTCACTGTCTTCTTTTGGGCAGATATGAAAAGATGTCAGAGGAGAATGTTGAAATACAGATGCACCCAGTTTTCGGAAAATCCAGCGTGTCAAGACTGTGGACTTGGTCCATGTAAATAAAGAGGTGATTGTTCTTCTCATAAAATATAACCAGTTTCCTCCAAAATAGCAAGTTTTTCCACTAACGCAGTGCTTGTGTCATAAAAACTAAACTCAGGGCTCTCCAGAACTCATCTATTTCAGCATGACGCACCGGTTACTGTCTTATACTAAAATTATTTCTCACTCTTCTGACATTTTTATTTTCACAGAATAAAATCAACAAAAAATATTTTTCCTTCTTGTACTTAAAAAAAGCATCCCTGTTTAAAATGTTAAAGTGAACAGAAGTGCCTTTCCTTTCAGTCATTCATCTTCATATTTTCATTTCTTTCCTCCTTTTTACGAAGCAAATGTCAATTCTGGGTCTTCAGGACACCAAGGACTCGGACTGTGTTATTGCATCCGGAGAAGGCAGGGGACAGGAGTGGCCGAGGGGGCAAACACAGGAGGTGGGAGAGTACGGACCCTGCACACGCCCCCCGCCCCGCCCCGGGCTCTCCCGGAGCCACTCACTGCCCCCAGCAGGGGCACGGGGCAGGCCACACGTGTGCCCTGGGCATGGGATTTGTGCTGCCAGAGAGCTGCCACCAGTCGGGGCTGGGGGTTGGAGCTCCCGACTGCACAGGCCAGGAGGGGAGTGACCTTTATTACTGTTACCTGGTGCTTTCTTGCCAAAATAATCGCAAATAACGCCTGCGTCTTCGCTGTGCCGACAGTTGTGGCTCCCGATCTCCTGCTTGAGGCAGTCGGCCAGGGACCGCTCGCCCCCGGCGCACTGCACGTTGTCCAGGTGGATGGGTCCTCGCCCTTCCCCAAAGTAGGCCATGGTTCTTGCCCTGGCGGGGCCCCTGGAAGCAGAGCAGTTTGAGATGGAGAGTGAGCGGGTCACACGTCTGAATAGGTCACACGTACCTTTATTAAGGTTCTGAACATGTATTGCTAAGGCAAGTCCTTGGAAAGCAAGTCATGCATTTGAAATGTGTGTAATGAAAATGCAACGATTTGAAGGAAAGGTTTTCCGTCTTACTTTGAATGACACAGTTCTCTCTGTCTGGGATGTGTTTCTGCTCAGTGTTAGTAAGGGATCTAGCTTTATTTTAGTCCCTAAAGCAACTGTCCCAATAACTTCTGCTGTTTTGAAGGGCTTTTTATTTACTTACTTAACAAGCTGTCTGTTGTGAAGCCATTTCTTGGTCTCTAGAGCTCAGTAATTCCCAGCCTTGACAACACAGTAGAGTTACCTTTGGGGGCTTTTAAGATACAGCAAAACCCAAAGCTGTGCACGGTGCCAGGTGGGTACTGGAAATATCAGGGGTAACTTTTTGTAAAGTATATGGTTCTCTAACCACTGCACTGTACACCTGAAACTAATACAAAATCATAATGATGCAAACTCAACTGAAAAAATACTAAGATACAGCAAAACCTGAGGCCCACCTGACATCATTAAAGTAGACTCCGCGGAGTGGGACCAGGCATGTCCCGATGTGATTTTAGTGGACGGCCGAGGCCGACGACCACTGCCGCAGCGGGGTCACTGGGCCCTGCCTGCCCGTGTCACATGGGTTTCATTTCAGACGAATCTGGAAATTCGAGCCCCCCTCGCTTCTCCCTCACGCCAGGAAAACAAAAGATTTTTATGAGGGTAGCATTTAATGTGTAATTAATCTCTAATCTGTTGTCCTGTGAGGACTGCGGTGGATCGTTTACTAGGTCTCCTAGCTTCAGCGAAGGCCCAGTTTTTTTCACACAGGTCTCAGTCCGTGCCGAGTTTGCTCCTGGATTGTTTGTTTGCTTTGTCCCTTCTATAAAGGAGGTCTTTTCTCTTTATTCCCAGCTAGCATACAGGAACACTAATGCTTTTAAAAACACTTGTAATTTATGTTGCCACATTCATAAACACTAGCGCCAGTGCCTTTCCAGTTGATTCCCTTGGGTTTTCTAGGTGGAGAACCATTTTATGTAGCAATTCTGAAGTCTCTCTCAATACCGACCCCTCAGTTCCTGACGACGAGCGGGACCTGGATCCGGGTCAGCGCCGCTGGACCAGGCGCCGTTGCTTCCTTCCTTTCATGCTGGTTTGGGATATAAAATTAAGGTGCTTTTATTTTGTCCTCAGATTCCTAAGTGATATCACGGAATGTTGATTTTTTAATAACTTTTCAACATTAAGATGATCGGATTTATTTTCATTTATATGACAACTAAAATACCTTGAATGTCTCAGCTGGAACCACTCAGTTTCCTCAGCAGGTCCCGGTTGCTCGTGCTAAGCTGTCCTCTGATACACTGTTGGGTTCACGTTGCTAGTATTTTGTGTGTAATGTTTTATGTAGATTCCTGAGCCTGGGGTATGGTTTTCTCTGTGTATGTGTATTTGTCTTGAAATCAAGTCACAGGAGCCTCATAACGTGAATGGAATACTTCCGTCTGTTTTTGTTGGTTTTCTGTTCGTTTGTTTTGTCTGCAACAATTTATGCGGCTCAGGAGTCATCTGTCTTGAAGACGACAAGGCTTTTCAGCAGCAGGTAGTCATTTCCTCCACAGCAATTAACCTATTTGGTTTCCTATGAGCTGTTCAATGTTGATAATTATATTTTTGTTGAAAATGTAGGTAACTGTCCATATCAGCTAGATTTCCAAGTTTATTAGCTGAAAGGAGTTCACAGTTTATACCCTTTTCTCTCTCTAGTGCTTACTTGTGTTCTCCCCCTTTCTCCTTTAGAACTGCCAGAAACTGTTTATTAATCTTTTTAAAAATGAAACTACTTGCTGACATGTGGTTGTGCAATGTGAAGCAATTTGAAATTCAAATGGGCATACTTTGAAGAAAGTGAACAATCAGCGGCCTGCAGAAACCAGCTCTCCAGAGGATTCGCACCAGTGTGAGGAGGGCCTGGGTGGAGGAGGGAGGAAGTTACTGGGTCCTGAGCATCTTGATCGTTTCCAGGAAGCAGAAGTGACAGATGCTAATTTTTGAACCGGGTAAGAAAATACGGCAGTTGTTTGCTAAAAGTTTAAAGAGAACTTCTAGTAGAACAGTGAGCATGCTGGACTTCCAGAAAGCCAGAGAAGAAAGAAAGTAGGAAACTGGATTGCTTGCAAATCAAAGACCAGAAGGCTACAGAAAGCAGACAGTGCACGACACACAGCATAACCATGGACCGCAGGCAGAACGGAACAGGTAGAAAACCGAGTTAAGACTCATTCAGTAAAGCAAAAGTAGGATTTCTCAGTCATCTATCAATCCACTCACAGACTAAAAAAAGGCAGCATTTTAGACACATCAACAAGTAGAAATCAGAGAACATTTTAACTAATAAAAGTGCAGGATTAAATAAAGACATTCTCAATGACAGAGTGAATCTAATACATTTTTCTTTGACTTTTTTTAAATAAATAAGGACTATGTCATTCTAGGAAAGAGAGAAGGGAGTTCTCACGGGGTGGGGGCCTGCAGCGACTCACAGTGGGGGCTTCAAGGAGGCGCTGGGCTCTACTACACTCATCCCGTCGGCTCCTGGGAGCAGAGATGACTTTCCCAGGGACACACGGGCTTTGGGGGAATCGGCAGGCAGGTCCTCACATGCCCTGTGCATCCTCTCTTAAAGCTGGTCTTGCTGAAATTACAATTAGCTTCTCTTTCAAGGTTTCCCTCTCCCACCTCAAAGGGAAAGACACACCTTTCACTTGCCCAAGTGCTACAACCCTGCACGTTGCTCCAGGACCTAAAAGCCTCTAAAGTGGTCAAAAGAACAGTTCACAGACGAAAGCGACCACGCTTCCTTAATACAAGCCCCAAAGCCCAACCCAGCAGTCTGAGTAAGAGTGGGAGCTTGGGTCAACTTTTATCTCCTATGTTTAATAACTGCTTGTTGTTTTTAATCAGTGTGTGCTAGAAATCTTAAAATCCAGAGAGGAACTTGTTAGAAGAGTTTAATTTCTCTCTCTCTTGCATGCTCCCTGTGTGTACAAGTGTGCGTGCACACACATGTGTATGCATATATGTGTACACACACAATTTTTAAAGCATATTAGAATTGTGTGGGGAAAGAAAGCTTAAATTATAGTTTCAAGGAGAAAAACAAACTATATAAAATTTGTGAAGGTAAAAGAAGAGTTTGTTCATATATTTTTTTAACTGACAGTATGTCAAATCCCTATGATATTTATATTTCACTGGATGTGATTTGAGTGATGTAACTGCTCTATTTTTAAATGTCATCTCCAAATATGCCAGAAATGAAATCCTTTGCAGCTATTTAGATGAGATAAAATTTAGATATACTTGACTTTAGGTCTCTACTCAACCAGAAGAGCTCCACCATTTTTAAAGTTCTTTTCAGGGTTACTCTAAGCGATATGCAGTCTGGGAAAGTGCCACGTTGAAGCGCGTGCTAAAGGAGTTCAAAGGCAACAGGCCATCCTTCGGGGCTGCTTAGTCCACCTTAACGAAGTGACCTGCCCTCAACACACTCTCTCTGAAACCTCGAAAAACAACATGCCCGTGTGCTAGCCCTTCTCAGGCCTGATGTAACACATCATGAAATAATGCCGCTCACCTGCCACTGACTCTAAGCATCTCTAGGTTACCATCACGGTCTCTGGTCTTCTTCGTTTCTGTTTCCCCCACTAAGAAAATGTTTTGTAATGCTATTTTGATTCTCAGTGTTTCTAGGGACTAGTCCTCAAGTATGATAGAGCTGGCTGGGAACAGACCTCCGGAACTGTCATTGATAAGGCTCATTTGAAGCTTTTGACAGCTTTAAAGTTTTCTGGATTGATTTCTACAAACAAATGCTTTATTAAAAACTTTTAATGATTTCAAGGTATGCATGGGGAAAGGATCCCCTACTCTAGTCACAACCTGTTCACAATTATATACATGTTTTCTCATGAAACCCCATTTCCCCTAGTGGGAAATTATTAAAAAGTTCAAGTACATTTACACAGCAAATATCTAAATGATTCTCATTTAAATACTACTTGATGGGAAATTGTGGGTTATGCACTAGAAGGTGATTATCCAGCTTGTTATATAATAACATTAAATTACTGTTTTACTTCCTAAGAGACTTTATTTAAAAACAATTACAAAGTAAAACACTCTTTCAATGCTTTTCTTGGTGATTATTATGAAACATTACTGAAAACTGCTGCAGACACTCATCTGGATTGTTTCTCACCTAAGTTCACCATTTGAGTTGGATGTAAAATGGACTAAGTGTGATAAGCAAAAGGCAATGAACAACGTAGAAAGAGGTGGAACATTTCCCATCCTTCACTGTGGCTCACACACGCAATCTGAGGATCAAACTTGGCCTTTCCTTTCACATTTCCAATGGTACTCCGAGATTTCCTGGGTCCTGTGTACGGAAAAACTAAAGTATGGCCCTGGCAGTGTGGCTCAGTTGGTCGGGCACCGTCCCCTGCACTGAGAGGTCGCCGGGTCAATCCAGGGCAGGGCAGGCATCTACGGTAGATCCTCCTACCTGCCTCTACTGCCCGTATTTTCAAGGCTGAAAATCTACATCACATGCCAACTGTGAACACTGAAAATGTTATCACCAATAACACACTCCCTGACCACAGGACAACTGGAATTGTAACTAGGTCCAAAACTGAGCAGTAACTTGTAGTATGTGAGTAACAAAAAACAAACTCTAAATTAAAACATCAGAAAAATAATTTTAAACTTTTATTAAAATAGAAATACTTTTAAAAAATAAACACGTATTCTGCATAGAAATAACTAAATTTATCACTATCAAAACGTACACAGATGTATAATGAAGGATATATTTTAAACTCCAAACCACTATTTGTAATCCACTACGAGCTGGGCAGTGTGCACAGTAGCTTAAATTTCATGATCCTCTCAACGGGAGCATGTTCCAGATATTCCCACAATCACCTGAACACAAGCATGAAGCCTCGATAATGTTGAATGGGCAAGTGGGGGTCTCTGGGAGGAGCCCTGCCTTTTCGCCTCAGCTCACACTGGGGACCAGCACCCTCTTCCCGGGCTGGTTAGGGCCACGCTGTTGCTAGAACTGCTGCTCGGTGGGGCTGGGAGCACGCGCTCTCCCCACAGGCACGCACAGCCTCTGCGCGCAGCGAAGCTACACAGCCTGCAGCACCAGGCTTGGGCTGTCCGAAGCAGAAAGCACAAAAAGGCAAAGAAAAAGGGCACCTGGAGACTGCAAAAGCCAGTGTTTGCAAGTCCCAGGGCTGAAAGGAAGGCTCAGCAGCGCCAGCGTGACCTCTGCGTGGAAGTGAAGGCACAGGATTCGCTAAGTCAGCGACTTTAGGGAACGTAACTACTGCGTGTGAGGGGACCGGTTGTAACTTCCCTGACTCTAGTCCCTCACACTGCCTGACAGAAGCAGGATTATGAATAGTTATTACACGATTTGTTAGTGAATAAAAGCTACATGTGCATGTGATGTGATGTGTGTTTCTTGTGAGAAGACAGAAACACTTAGTCTACTTAGTATTCTTTACAATTCTGAATCCAATGACGTAGACTGATTTTCAGGAAATAACTCATTAGAACAAGACTTAAAGAAAGCAGCAGTTGCCCATGAAGCAGCCGCGGAACAATCAGGCTCTCTCACCTGTAGCCGAGCTGCCGACAGGCGACGGCTGCGTCGTGGTCAGTCCACCCGTCGTCACAGACGGTTCCCCACTGGCCGCCGATGAGGACCTCCACGCGGCCCTCCTTCTCGTCCTCGCCGTCCACCAGTCTGACCGGAAAGCCTGAGGCAAGGTGCGCAGGCATTAGGGAAGCCAAACAAGCAAACTGAGGCAGACACTGCACTAAATACAATTTGTTTTTAAATCAGTCAGCTATAAAATCAGCTGGGCAACAGAGAGAGAGAGAGAGGAGACATCAACAGACCGTGTCCACCTTGGCACTAGCTGGTGAAGCCAGGAGGTCGCAGCGCTCGGCCCGGTGGTCCCAGCATCCGAGGGATGGGCGTCGTGGCAGAACCAGACTCCACATCTCCCCCTTCCACAGAGGCCTTACCTGCACTCTTCCTAGAATTACCTTTATTAACCTAGAACCCGGCTTTTAAACATTCCACCCATCACAGACTCAGATGCAGAAAGCGTTTATTAAACAACTGCTGGTTTTGAGAACAGCTGTATTCACACTTCAAGTGCACAGTCACCCCTCCCATAGTGACACAGGAAGGGTGCTGCAGCCCAGCTCACGGTCGCGGTGTCCAGGGTGCTGCTCACAGCACCGCCCGAGCTCCTCTCAGGCCTCTGTCACACACGCAGTCCTTTCTGATAAGTGGGAGAGTGATGATCTCTCTGGGCGAGTAAATGTTAATGTGATTCTACTTCAAAGGGAGAGCCGGCTCTGACATAAAGTTCTTCCGACAAATGGAGAGTTAATAGACACGTTTCTGAAATTAGGCCCAAAGAGATTCACAGTAATGATCACATATTTTATTAATAATTACCTCCCTCCGCTTTTAAAATTTTTAAGAAATATGTCTGGAATCCTACAATTAAGAAGATCTTCAGAGGACTGAGCTCCCCATGGAGCTACCTACCTTCAGCACACAGGCCGTCAGAGGAGTTGGGGGATGGCTCTCGTGTGGCATTTAGACTCGCGTCGCCTGGAGCGTGACGGAGCGTGCCTCACACACACTCCACGACCGGCCGCCTGCTACCGGGGCCGCCAGGACCCATTTCTAGCAAACAGGTTGCATTTCCCCAGACACTTGCAATCCTTCATCCCTCAACCCTGGGATGATCATAAATCCTCCGGGAGCAGAGGGCGGGAGGCAGGGGAACAGTGGAAAGACACCATGTTGGAACGTGGCCTGTGAGGGCGCAGTAAGCTCTGTACCCCGCCCGGCCTGGTCTGGAGGTGAGGAAGCACCATGATCGCAGGGCTGAGGTCCACTGAGGACCTACTGGGCACCTCGACAACCTAGGTACCCTGTGGGGGTAACACTGTGGGGATCCACAAACTCTGCCTTTTATAGCACGAAGATTTAAGCTTCACCATCTCAAAACGGGGGTGGGGGGGAGCACAGAGGGGTTGACAGACCACCTATGGTTATTTTAACACCATTCACAAAAAGTGCATTGCATACAGATGTTATACAGAATATTACACACAGGGTTACACAGAGGCGGGGGCAGGGCTGTGCCGTGTGTTACAGGGTTATAGAGACGGGGGCAGGGCTGTGCCGTGTGTGTTACAGGGTTACAGGGACAGAGAGCAGGGCTGTGCCGTGTGTTACAGGGTTACAGGGACAGAAAGCAGGGCTGTGCTGTGGGCTGGCATGTGTTTTGATATCTCTCCCACATGGTTACTTCACCTCTGCTCCGCCCTCATTGGAATGTAAGTCAGTCAAGGACATGCTCACAGAGGACCTTTAACCCTAAATATTTCAAGGCTTAGATGAACTACTTACGTTTTATTTGAGTTTAAGTCTGAACTAACTTGGAACTGGGGACTTTGAGAATAACAGGATATCGTGGAAAGATGGGCAGGCTGCTCACTGCAGTGAATGGAGATAGGAGCCCCTGGGACGCCTGGAAAGCCTGGGTCAGGCCAGAGCGATGGCTGGCGGGCGACCACGACTGCCAGGACGCCAGGACTGAAGCAGTGCGCAGGGGCGGGAGACAGCTAGCGCTTTGCTCTGACTCACTGCTCAGTCCTGTCTCTAACAGTCCCTCAGAACGAGGTCAGTGAGCACCTGTGGGAGCCATGAGGCGGAGACAGGACAGGGCAGCCTCCTACTCCTCTCTCAGGTGCCCGTGGTCATAAACACTTCAAGTCGGAAACTTGGCCTTGAGGTAAAGAGGAGTAACTTTAGGAATGTAAATTTTATAACATTGGTGTAAAGACTCAAGAGTATTTTTTAATGCAAATTACTGAACATGAGGACACTGCGGGAAACAGACGGAAAGGTCAAAGGCGAGGAGAGCGTCCCCCGTGGGTCAGTGGGCAGCGGCTCGAGTCCTCACCTGGAGAGGGCCGGTGTCCCTCGCCGCCCAGGTAGCAGGCCATGCCGACGTCCTCCCGGTGGCTGCAGTCATGCAGGCCCCATGGTGGCCTGGAGCACTGGAGGAAGCTGGTCTCCTTTCCTGAGCAGCTGACGTCATCCAGCCAGATGGGCCCCACACTCTCCTCAAAGCGGCTGGCAGAGGCCTGCCTGCCATACCTGTGGCGACAGACAGAAAGGTGCAGGCAACTGCTGTCTCCCTTCATGGAGCCACAGTGTGAAACAAGCAACCTGATGAGCTGTCATGGCCCCAGAGGACACGTGTTCTCTCTCCTACTTGCCCTCTGGTCCAAGAGCAATGTCTGTGCCCTCCCACGTTCTGATCATGGTGACAATGTTGGCTGGACCCAGTGGATCCCTGACGGGCAGCGAATCCTTCTTCCCCGTCCATCCCTGGGTTTTGTCTGCAGTTAACCCGCCCACAAGAGAGAAAGCAGACAGAGCTGACCCTCAGCTTCCTGACCACACAGCCGCACCCAGGACCCGGAGAGAGAGCGCTTGGGCCTCCGACCAGCCTGCTGAGCTCCTGGGGTCTCAGCACTTTCTAGGCCTCTTTGGTATCCTCTCCTCCAACAGAAAACGTGGGGAGCAGTCCAGCGATTCCCCAAGCTCGGTGCCCAGTGCAGGTGACGCCTGGACTCCTGCCCATCAACATCAGAATGGTGACAGCATTCTCAGGTTCTCATAAGGCTGCATGAACTTGATTTTTAAAATTGTTGTGATACTTGTGCTCCAATTGACTGTACTGGTAACGCTGCACTACGGAAACCTAAGTGGGTGATGATAAATATACAAGCTGCAGAAGCAAGAACGGTCTGCAAACTGAGGCCGGGTGGCCAGTCGTCTGCACCTTCACTCATCTTCCTCAGGGCTGTGAGACCCGCACTTCCAGAAATCTCAGAGCCAAAAGCTGTCTGCTGAGTCTCTTAGTTCTTGGCGTCTGTGTAATTAAGTGCTGCCTCATAAATGGGTGTTGCTATTATTTGTGCACTAGGAATATAAGACATCTTTCTGTCCTTCATGAGTCTTCCTCCTCCTCTCCTGTGCACCTAGTGATTATATTTATTTAACAAGAGCAACATTTGAACAAACTAAAACAACGAAACTTTTAATTAATAATTCTAAGACCTCCTATTTTGCTGCCTAATCAAGTCCTAGCTGGGAAAGGAATGAACCTAAATCACATATTGCTATCACTTTCCATTTACACCCTCTCCCACAAAACGCACTGATCTGATGACCACCTGTCCCTCCAACTATACAGCACATCACAGGAGGCCACTTTACTCCGAGATTTCGCTTGTACAAAGACACCCAGGTTCAACCCTTCTCATCTCAAACGAATATTCTCTTTCAAAGTTCCCATGTAAACTGAAAGGTGTATGTAGCACATGCCTATTCTAACACAGTCATTCAGAACTTTTACAAATATTGTTGAGAACATTTTAGAACAATTAAGTTCTAGTAATGCAGAATGAAAAATACACACAATGGATTTGTGAGACAAAAATAAATGAAATATGGAGGAAAAAACTCTCAATGTCACTCAACTGTTTACCTTAATAAGGAAAAATATGAAAATAGTAAATAAAAGTATTTACAAATTTTTCTAAATCTCTGAAAATGACACACAGTCCCCAGTGTAACAGATTTACTTAAAGATGAAATAACTACTAAATACCTTCTATTAATTAAATATCATTATTTATTTGGCTGGTATGTCATACCTCTTGTCCCAAAAATTATAACTACAGTGCCCATGAAAATTAAAATTATCAGGCACTAACATGCATTTATATCTTCATAATAGCAGTATTTATAACAGAGAAAAAAACTAAACTAACCTAAATATTAAATAAGTCATGGCATAAACATTCAATGAAAATTATGCTGCCATTAAAAATTATAACTATGTAGCAAAATAAAGGTAAAAATGTGGGTAGAAAAGTTCCATACCCACTACTAGAGGCATTATGAAGGATACACCCAAGTTATTCTAACGATGGTGTAAAAATGTAAACACTGGGCAGTTTTTATTTTCTTCCCTTTTCAAACTTTTGCTCATATTTTATATTATTTGTACAAATTAAAATATATATATTAACCATGGCCATGGCTAGCTTGAATGAAAGTATATTTTTAAGGTTTAATGAATATTTGCATTGAGCTCTGTCTCAGGCTGAAATGAAATAATTTTGTCAATTTTTCAAGCACGACACAGAAATTGGACAATAGGACAGAACGGGCATTCATAAGCTCCATTCAAACGTCAGCCAAAGCATCGTCTGCAGCCACTTCTGCCAGCCTGCTCTGCAATGCATCATGTGTGGGACAAAAAATATGTCGCCCGAAGTGTGATACCCAGCTTTTAAGAGTGAGGTCAAGGGTGAGTTCCAAAGGTCACCTCATGACAAGGAGGCTGTTTTCTCAAATAAAAGTGATAATTGTCATCACATATTCTGAGAAAGGGAACGACGTAACCCCAAAGCATTTGGCACGGGCTTCTCTGCCACTTGAGATGCAATGACATCAGAACTGGCGACATCGGGAAGAGGGAGGTGTCAGAACAACATCGAGCACTCACAGCACACATCTTACTTGAACAGACACAAAGGGACATAAAAGTCACCCCTGGCTCCAACCAATTATTCAAGGAGAAGGGCTGTGGCAGGATGGTGAAGGAGACAAACAGCCAACACCAACACATGGTTATTTATCATCAGAGAAAATGTTATTGTTTCTATTTTCAAGCTTCCAAATACAGGCAGGCAGGCAGACAGAGACCATGCATTTTTAGTATTACAGAGATTACGAGTAAGGGCTCAAAATCAGACTCTAAAATATAATTTGGCCTCTAGCCGCCTCGTATCCCTGGACCTTACTTAAATCCCAGCTGCAGGCACACCACGTATGTATTCAGCTCCGTCCAGCCATCGTCACAGACGGTCCCCCACTGTCCCCGGTAATACACCTCCAGGCGACCCTCGTGGCTGTCCTGCCCACCTGCAAGTCTGAGGGCCCCATCTGTGATGAGAAGGAGACACAAACACTAAGCAAAACAATTCTCAAAAAGGGGCAACACAACATTTTCATTTCACTAAAATATCACCAGATTTAGGTATCTCCCAGCTTTTTGTTAAATGTATTCAGGACTGTACTCAACGCCTGAGGTCACTGCACTGTTTCTAAGCATGACAAAACACATACCTGTCCTAACGAAATATCCTTTCCTTTTTATCTGTACTCTTGTTCTCTGAGTAGAAAAATATATTCTGATGTAATTCCAAAGTAGCTATGTAGATTTCTCTGAATTAAATCACATTTGGGAAATTTCCTATGGCTTTAATCTCCTTATGTCTGAGCAGTATTAGTCCTTTAAACTTCAAAAGTAAGAAAACACAGTAACTTAGAAATAGTTCAAAACTTAACTACAAAAACAAAAATTTGCAATATGACGCCAGAAAAGTTACACTGGTTAAAGTGAGTGAGCTCCTGTGCCGATGCATTTACTACTCCTCAGGCATCGTGAATTATAAAAACAAGGGCATACATCTTGTCTCTGTGCTTTTACTGATAATGTAGATTTGAATTTGAATATTTTGAACCCAAGGAATATTAATTGCCAGAGAATCCTGTAACGAGCTTCTACGCAGTCACAATACTATAAATCTATCTGCCAAAAAGTAGATTTAAAAGCCATTTCCATCCAAAATAATCCAAATAGTGCCCCAAATGGAACATAAAAATAATCTTGGGCAAAAGTCATACTTCCCATGAATCTTTGGGATCTTTTAGAGCAAAAGCACGTCCCTTAGCAACAGCATGCCTTATTAATGTAATGCTTTTCTGTCCGCACGGCCGTGACCCGGCGGCAGCACTCCAGGCCGGCCGTTAGAGAGCAGCGCAGCAGGGCTCGGGCGCAGCCCCTGGAGTGCTCTCCGCGCAGTGTGGGTAAATGTCGCTCTGCTACTGAGAACAACAGCGTGCTCAGAAGCGTGTTAATGAAAAGGTGTAACTTCAGCATTTCGTAGGCCCTAAGAAGTTCTTTTAAATTTCTTTTAAAGGCAGTTTAAAACCCCACATTTTTTCCTGGAGTGCATTACTATAGAAACAACAGCTCTGTGAAGGTCCGACTTCCCTGGTGCGCATGTCCCTCTTCTGCCCCCGGGGCAAGTAAGCACATACCTACCCACGGGCCCTCAGACGCCCTCCTTGCAGCACAAGGCGGCGTAGGACGGCGTGCTATGGTTTGGAACCGTCTGGAAACTGAGCACACCAAGGCTAACGGTTTCTTTAACAGCGCTGAGTCAAGAACCCCGCCAATGTGGTTTCACCAGCTATAAGCACATTCGGAGAGTCAAGGCAGGTTAATAGCAGAATGGACTGGAGGTATAACACCTAAAATCTGAGACTGACCGCTGCACGCGATTTTCATTATTGGGTACTACATACTGCAACAAAGTCGTATTTTCTGATTTGGCTTTACAGGAATGTATGCCCTTTAAATGAAAACTCAGAAATATCTATGAATAAGGAGATCGTGTTTTGGGTTTTTTCTAGAGAGAGTGGAAGGGAGAGAGAGGGGGAGAGAGAGAGAGAGGGAGAGAAAAGGAAACATCGATGTGAGTGAGACACATAACCGGTTGCCTCCCCCATGCACTCCTAACCAGGGCCGGGGATCAACCAAGGTACATGCCCTTGACCAGAATCGAACCTGAGACCCGTCAGTCTGAGGGCCGATTCTCTAACCACTGAACCAAACCGCTAGGGCCGGAGATAGCATTTTAATAGACAGTTTTTGTTAGTTTTGGTTGTTTTATTGGGCATGCTTATTTTTATGCCCATTTACTAACATTATCTATATTGGGAAGAAGGGAAGGGAAGCCCAAACCGAGCTGGGCAGGGTTGGCAGGGGAACGGGTGGCAATCTTACCCGTCAGAGGGGTGCAGGACACCCCAGCGTCCTCGCTGTGGCCGCAGTTGTGCTCGCCCCAGGAGCTCTTCGGACACTGCTCTATGGACAGCTCGTTGCCCGTGCAGCGGACCTCATCCAGCATCACGGGGCCGGACCCCTCCCCGAAGTAGGCCTGGGTCCAGGCTCTGGCAATGCCACTGAGCGAGGCAAGGATTCTGGGTTAGACACTGGGTGGTAATTAACTTCTTTGGCTCCTGGTAAAAGTTTAATGGTGATTCGCCCACAGGCTCCCTCATCAGTTGTCCACAGGTCACCAGGACTCTGCGCCCCGTTTGTTGCTCTTTATATTGTTGCACATGACAAATGCTTCAAAGACTACTGATTATGCCCCAATGGTGACTCTTCCATTAGGAATGGAGCCTCAGGTTGTTAGGAGGATGACGGCTGTCCTTCTGGATGACCACGTTTGTTTGTTGTAAAATACACGTAACATAAAACTTATCCTTTGAAGCATTTCCAGTGTGCAGCTCAGTGGCAGTGAGCACATTCACACTGCTGTGCAAGGGCCCCCCCACCGCCTCCAGGACTGTCCAGCACCCACACGGACACTCCACACTTCAGATGACCACGCTTGGGCCAGTGATGCGTAGGCAAAGTGTCGTGAATCCCTTCCTCCTCCCTGCTGACTCCAAGGCTGAGGTCATGGTGGGAGCCTGGGCACTATCTGGGGCCCTAGAGCCACACGAGGAAGACAGAACTCCAAGAAGGAGGAGCCAGGCCCCGATGACTGCAGATCCCGGACCAGCCCTGAGCCGGCCGGCTCGGGTCCCTTTTCTTGAGAGAGAAATAAACTCTTGTTTATGCCTCTGCTACTTTCAGTTCTTAACGCCAAACATATTTCCTAATGAAAACACCCCTTCACTCAAATTATTTGTACTGACTTTACTTCTCCCATGATTCAGAGGGATACCACCTTCTAGAACCCAGATTCCCCGGGAGACGACCAGGGTTGCCTGTCAAAATGACTGACTTAGGAAACGGCATCTCAGCACCCTTTAGCCTTTTCATTGTTAGATGGGAGATTTAGATTTTTTTTTTTTTACATATATGTTTACTGATTTCAGAGAGAGGAAAGGAGAGCGAGAGAGAGAAACATCAACGATGAGAGTCACTGATCGGCCGCCTCCTGCACGCCCCCTGCTGGGGATGGAGCCCGAAACCCGGGCGTGTGCCTTGACCGGGAATCGAACCAATCTCCTGGATCTTAGGTCGACGCTCAACTGCTGAGCCATGCCCGGCTGGGCTGGAGCATTTAGATTTTTAGTTTACTTTTAATGACGCTGCACTTATTCCCCACTATTCTTCTTGCCCTTTTCTCGTAACATTACAACTATCTTGAGAACTTACAACCAATTATATTGAAAAAGAAAGTTTGCTGAATAGTTATAATACTTCAGTAATGGTAAAGTCTTGAATAGGAAACTTTGGTTAAAGAGCAACTTGTTTGACTAATTTTATTAGATACTATGAAAATTTCTAAAATCTGAACGTTAAACACTTTAAATACCATTAGAACAAATACATGTTCCGTTCCACCCGACCCACTTTCTGTGCAGCACTCAGGTGGGGCACCCAAGGGGAGCACGCAGGAAGGTTCACAGGAGGGGGTGCTAAGGAAGCTGAGGTGAAGGGAAAACAGGTTAAGGAGGGAGTCTTGGTGGAGTTAGTTTTATAATTCAGAATGTTGACACTGACTCACGAGCTGGTATTTGCCATACAGTGGATAGGGAGAAGTCTCTCCCAACAAATATTAAAGATTAATATCTACAGCTAAGTGCATAGGTTCCAAAGAGAGAAAAAAGAAATCCTAACACAAGTGATACTGTAAAAATGACATGATTTTGTGAGTGCATTTGTTTTATAAGGGAAATATAATGACAGAAGAAAAAGCCATTTCTAGTCTTCTGGAGAGAAGCTATTAATGTTCAGTTATTAGGATTTTATGTTATTATTTTATTTTTATTGTTGAAAGTATTACAGATGTCTCTCTTTTCCCCCCATTGATCCCCTCCAACCTGTACCCCTCCCCGCAGGCGTTCACCACACTATCTGTGTCCATGGGTTATGCATATATGCATATAAATTCTTATGTTAATCTCTCCCTACCCACTCACCCACCCACCCTCACCTTCCCGCAGAGATCCATCAGTCTGTTCCATGCTTCTATGTCTCTGGATCTATTTTGTTTATCAGTTTATTTTGTTCATTAGAGTCCACATATGAGTGAGATCATGTGACACTTGTCTTTCTCTGACTGGCTTATTTCACTCAGCATAATACTCTCCAGGTCCCACCATACTGTCTCAGAGGGTAAGGGATCCTTCGTTTTTACAGCTGCATAGTATTCCATGGTGTAAATGTCCTAGAAGATGCTTATTATGATTTCAATCTTCTTGAACTTGTAGAAACTTGTTTTGTGTCCTAACATGTGGTCTATCTTTGGAGAATGTCCCGTGTGCACTTGAGGAGAATGCATATTCTGCAGCTTTGGGGGGAAATGTTCTGTAAATGTCAATTAAATCCATCTGATGTCATGTATCATTTAGTCACTGTTTCCTTGTTGATTTTTTGTCTGAAAGATCTATCCAGTAACATCACTGAGGTGTTAAAGTCCCCTAGTATGACTGTATTGCTGTTGATCTCTCCTTTAAAGTCCTCCAGAAGTTGTTTTTTCCCCCAGCTTGTGTGAGTCTTTTGTTCTGAGGTGAATCTCTTGTAGACAGCATATATTTGGGTCTTGTTTTTTCATCCATTCAGCTACCCTATGTCTTTTGATTGGGGCATTTAATCCAATTACAGCAGTTCCTTTAACATTTCTTGCAGTGCTGGTTTGGTGGTAATAATTCCTTTAACCTTTTTTTTGTCTGGAAAGCTCTTTATTTCACCATCTATTTTGAATGATAGCCTTGCTGGATAGAGTTGTCTTCGTTTCAGATCCTTGTTTTGCATTATCTTGAATACTTCATGCCATTCCCTTCTGGCCTACAGAGTTCCTGATGAGAAGTCAGCTGACAGCCTTATGGGAGCTCCTTTGTAGGTAACAGATTGCTTTTCTCTTGTTGCCTTTAATTGCTAAGGGAGAACTCGGTCTACAGTGGCTGACAGTTTCCCCTGGGGCCTCCTGCTATGTTCCCATGAGCACCAAACCAGAAAGGGTTTTTCCCTGCCCTAAGCAAGGTATAGCTGCCACATAGGCAGAAGCATGTGTGTTATATAACTCCTTGCATGACTTGCTCTGGGCTCAGACTTTACAGTTGGACTCCTCTGGGCCCGCCAGCATAAAAAAACCTCCGGAACCCCAAGCCTCCGAGTGCCGCCTGGTCTTTCCCTAAGGTGGGCGTCTCCTGTTCCGCAACATAATATTCTCTCATTGCTTGAATTCTTGGCATTATAATTATGATGTGTCTGAGTGTGGGCCTCTCTGGGTTCTTCTTGCTTGGGACTCTCTGTGCCTCCTGAACTTATGTGACTTTTTCTTTCACCAGGTTAGGGAAGTTTTCTGCCATTATTTCTTCAAACAGGTTCTCCAACCCTTGCTTACTTTCTAGATCTTCAGGAATTCATAAATATGCGAATATTGTTACATTTCATGTTGTCCCATAGCTCCCTTAGACTGGTCTCCTGTTTTTTAATTGTTTTTTTCTTTTTGGTTCTCTGATATTTTTCCTACCCTGACTTCTAATTCACTGATCTGATCCTCAGCCTCCTCTAATCTACTGTTTATTCCTTCCAATGTTTTTGTTGTTTTTTTAAATTTCTACTACGTCATTCTTAATTTCCTTCATAATTTCTATATCTTTTCTCATGCTGTTGAGCATCCTTACAATTATTATTCTGAACTCTTTATCTGATAGATTGCTTATCTCCATTTCATTTAGCTCTTCTTCTAGAGAATTATTTTGTTCTTTCATTTGGAGCTTGTTTCTTGGTCTCCCCATTTTGGCTGCCAGTCTGGATTTGTTTCTATGTATCAGGTAGATCTGCTAAGACCCCCAGTCCTTTGGATGGCCTCTGGTTCAACCCAATGTAAGACGCTGTTTATGACTGGCCTTGAGTACCCTGTTTGCTGTAGAAACTCCACAGGGTGGGGCCGCTAATTGTTATCAGCCTCAGGCAGTAGAAACTCCATGGGAGCGGGGCCAGAGGTTTTCCAGCCGGGTAGGGCAATTGCTTCCTCCCCAGGCAAAAGCTGCTTGGAAGGTAAATGTCTGCCAGAGAAAGATGTCCTCTGCTGTATAGGGGAATGACTCAGTACCAGGGTCCAGATGGATGCCCTCTGAGATCTATTCCCCCAACCAGCCCCCCTGGATTCTCCTCACACTGCTCTAGTCCACTCTGCCTCCACCAGAGCCCAAGGTGAGTGGCTGCACACTAAGCTTTGTGCATTGGCTCTTTAGGAGGGTGCCTGCATTTCCAGCCCTCTCTCCCTGGCAGACAAAGACACTACACTGCTTTGTACAACCAGACATTATGTGGGCACCTTTCTCAGTTCTGGTGCTACGGGCTGGGGAGCCCAGCTTGGGGTTTAGACCCCAGAGTCCTCAGTGGGAGCCCCCCACAGCTGAGATCTCCCTTGGGACCTTCAGCTGCTGCCTGTGGGAGCCCAGCCAGCCCTCTCGCGCCTTCGCACTTCCTACCAATCTCTATGTGGTCTCCCCTTTTCCTCCTTGGTTATGAGGGTGCTGTGCTCTCCAGCTCATCTTCAGTTGCAGTTAATCTATTTTAGTTGTAGTTCCAGTTTGGTCCTGGGAGAGTGTCAGTGTCATTTCCACTCAATCTGCCGCCATCTTGGATCTCTCCAGTTACAGTATTTTTAAAACAACGTGTTCAGTGGTTTCAATGTGGGGTCTATGTGCTCATAGAAGAGAGCAATCTACATAAATGTTCACGTTTACTGACCCCAGCAAGAGGTCGATTCTCTCCAAGCTGAATCTTTGCACAGCAAAAGTGGATGTGGGAACAGGCCTCAGTGTGAAGCTGGGCTCTAGGTGGGCTAACTCCTGGAACTTACCAAAACATTCCAGGCCTAACAGGTTTCTTTTTTAAAAAAAAAAATATATATCTTTATTGACTTCAGAGAGAGGAAAGAAGGAGAGAGAGAGACAGAAACATCAATGATGAGAGAGTCACTGATCAA